TCAACAGAGACACATTTTCCCAATCAGCTATTTATTTCGGTACTGAAGTCAGGGTGGCAATTTCAATGTTTAGCTACCATAATTTATCTCCATTATGAGCAGGAAAATAAATTACGGACCTCGATTGAGATGGATTTAACGGCAGCCATGTTTTTAATTGTTGACATTGTGCATTTAGGGATATGTGAAACAATATTAAGGAGGGAGGCAAATTCACGTAGTCCTCAATTTTAATGATGTTGACTTAATAGTCATAATTTTTTTTTTCAAAACTCTGGATAATATTTTATATATTATTTTAATACAACTACAATATGTTAATTAGTATGCAAATTAATATGCAAATTAGTAGCCAATCTGAGACAACTTTCTAGAATGAACACTGCAATCCAGTTCAAAGGTAATTTGACATACACTTAGGTTACATGATCACTACCTCTGCTGATTAGTTTTTAGCTCCGCTGTTGACTTTGTCGAGCGGAGCTTATCATATGAGTGATTGTCCGTCGTCGTCCGTGTCAATGTTTTACTTTTTCGACTTCTTCTTGAAAACTACAAGCCTGAATGCTTTGATACTTGGTGTATATGTACCTTGGGTAGACCTCTCTTAGGTTTGTTCATTTCATGTTGATATCTTCAATTCTCTAATTTTGGTGAATATTTTTGTCATTTTTGGTAAAAAGTTATATTTTCGACTTCTTGTTAAAAACCGCAAGTGCAATTGCTTTGATATTACATATATAGGTACTACATGTGGACCTCTCTCAGATTTATTCATTTTGTGATGATATCTTCAATTCTCTAATTTTGGTGAATATTTTTGTAATTTTTGGTAAAAAGTGATATTTTCGACTTCTTGTTAAAACCAATAGTTTAATTGCTTTGATATTATATATATAGATACTACATGTAGACCTTTCTCAGATTTGTTCATTTTGTGATGATATCTTCAATTCTCTAATTTTGGTGAATATTTTTGTAATTTTTGGTAAAAAGTGATATTTTTGACTTCTTGTTAAAAACCAAAAGTTCAATTGCTTTGTTATTACATATATAGATACTACATGTAGACCTTTCTCAAATTTGTTCATTTCGTGATGATATCTTCAATTCTCTAATTTTGGTGAATATTTTTGTAATTTTTGGTAAAAAGTGATATTTTCGACTTCTTGTTAAAAACCTCAAGTCCGATTCCTTTGATATTACATATATAGGTACTACATGTGACCTCTCTCAGATTTGGTTTATTTGTGATGATATCTTCAATTCTCTAATTTTGGTGAATATT